AGGAGATGCAGATCCTTTCACTTCCTCTACCACTCATAGCTGCTGCTCTGATGACCTTTGATGAACCCAATGTTTAGATGTTGGACAGAGAGGACAGAGAGATTAAAAGAGGGGTGAAGAAAACCATCTCTGTCAGAAGAGAAAAGCCAATCCTGAACTGAGGAAAGGATCTCAGTTTCAGCTCCCAAGCATCTATAAACATGTTTAAACTCATCCTAAGTGTTGTGATTTTATGTTCTATTCAATTCCCAGCCAGCTGAGAATGTATATTTCTGATACTTCAAGATGTTTATTGCCCTCCCCAGTAGAGTTGGTAAAAATCTTATTTAATCAGATTTTCGGCTGTTATACATTGTTTATGACACACAGTCCTACTAGCTGTGTGTTAGAACAATTAATGAAAGAGTGATTCGAGCACTAATCATGGTCAAACAGTTAATTCTGCACAAACATGAAATAAATTCACCACAACTTCTGTTCAAAATATAAGAGTTAATTAACAAAAAACATTCAGCTCCAAGTCAAACATATTTCAGTTTAACACCCTTAACTAAAACTATTGAAACTCCACTAAACTAAACTACTATGTACAAAGAGGCAGGGAAAACGATTGAAAACCATGTTACAGTTTAAGATGGATCTTGTGCTTGAAAACCAAAGTTTATTTGTAAGAATGTGGGATATGATCAAATGAGCTTTTCTCTAATTTAGAGAAATTGGAATGTTTTCAGACCAATTCACAATGAAAATTCATGAGGTGAATAAAACATTATTTGTCAAATAATGTTTAATTAAATGATTTGCTTAATCAGGAACCAACAACCTTTTGTCATTATTTTACAAAGTTCAGACCCAAATGCGGAAAACCGAACAGGGAGACCAGGGAAAAGGTTTAACAGGTTTTATAGAGGTAAAACAGAGGGAGAAGTGTTGCTCTGAACACTGCTCAACCGGAACTGAAAAGTGAGGGGAACACACAGCGGTTAGTTCAGGCTCAGTGGGGAATTTGACTCGTGAACTTGGAGAAGAGGATTTGGTTGCTGACTCACGTTTCCAGAGAAGTAGTTGTATCCTTGACTCCTGTCTGTGTGCCATGGTTCCAGTGTTTGTCTGATTCGGTGGAGGGCGGGACAGGGTTTACCCAGAATGAGGTCGTTAGTTGGTGAACGGAGAAACTGACTGCCACTCAGATTTCCTGCGTTACTTGAACGGGTCATAGTGGAGAATAATCCCTTTCTCAGTGCGAAGCTCAAACGATCTCTTGGGGAGAGTGGGTCCAAACCTTAAGAACTCTCCGTTAATGAGGATACCATCAGCAGGTGTGTGAGGAGGCGGACCAGAACCAGGCGCCTCCTGGTGGAGGAAGGGAGACAAACACAGAAAACAAAGAAACAGACAGGAGTCCATACAATGCAAATCAAATGTTTGGCAAGCTCGAAGCTCCTAACATAAATTCCGTAAAAATTCAAAAAAATATCCACTGGACTTGGTTTTCAAGATTTGAAATCTTCAAATCTTGAAAACCAAGTCCAGTGGATATTTTTTTGAATTTTTACGGAATGACTTTGACCTGGATGACTGAGAACCTTCATCAGCTCCTAACATAAATAAACAAATGATGATCTTACAATTTGATTAGGATTTGGTAAGTTACACTCAAAATCTGTTTCCTTGTTTTAAAACAACTTTCATCAGACAGAATGAGCTAAGATTTGGATTTTGTTTAATATCCCAAAAGCTTTGTTATCTCCTTCAACTGAAAGTCTTTTTAATCACCAACTGTAAATATTTTCTATCAAATCATAAAACTTAAACTACTTAAAGAAAATAAATACTGGAAACCTTTCTGTTTGTTTTTTTTTTTTTAGAATAATTAACAGCATAGTAATGAAAGAAATGTATAACTGTAAATATTTATACTTGATGAAATGAACACAGGTAAATGCTTTATTATTATTTTTAAACAGATTGGTATTTTAACCTTTAACCATCACTCATTTAGAACTGAACATGCTGAGCTGAACCTGTTGATTGACAGCTCCCTGCAGACAGATATGCAAATTGGTTATTGAGCACTATAGCCTCATATTTTTTTTTAACTCTTTAGAGGTTGAAGCCTGGGAGGGACTACACAATAAGTTGTGCATCTATCTGGTTTGCTATGCATTTCGAAAATGTTTTAATTTAAAACATTTTTTTTTCTTTTAGGACGTTAAAGCAGCACTAAGTAACATTTTATCAAAATAAATCCTTTCTAAATCCTGATGGTGGTAGTAAAAGTCTTCATAAGTTGATTGAAAGCTCTGTCATCTCGAGTGTGGTCACAAAACCAGACTCTGAAGTTTCTGTGCCAGCGATCTGGTGGCAGACCAACGGCTCTGTTCTTTCAGCAAGACAATCAGCTTTAGGGCAGCACAACATAAAGAAGTCAGCTTCAGTTGCCACAAGTCTCGCGCTGCGCCTTACTTTGGAGGTGTGTGACATAGCAGAGCCAACAATAAAAAAGCAAAAATAACAAAGGGAGAGAAAACAAGAATTCTATCGGGAAAGGGCTAGCAGTAGAAGTAAGTTAGGTAAGACATTTGCTCTATGGTGAGAAATAAGAAAAAAACAAGGATGAAAAAGGATGCAGACCTGTTTTCGGACCTGTATTTCTGTTAGTGGTACAATTGTAACTTTTAAGTGATTGATTTTTTTCAGCGAGTCACTATAAAGCATTTATCTTCTTCTGCTTCTTTCATCTGTGTCAAGGTGGAGCTGGAGCTTAACTCCAGGATTCTATGGGTAAAAGGATGAGGTATCATATGGCTGCAAGTAGTGTTGCACCGATACCAGTATCGGGCAGGGAACCGATCCAGCACTAAAATGGTGGTATCGGTATCGGCGAGTACCAACAAATAGGGCACTGATTCCATTTTGAGAGCCAAAAGTTTACAACTATTTAACTATCGTCACCCATTCCAGGTAGACAATATAAAGTTTTACTGGATTCACTTTGTTTTAGTCTTTTTCCTGCTTCACAAAGGTAGGCAGCAGCTCGGCAAAGCCATGATGGCAATTATTTTACATCCAGTTACACGACAGTTCGAGGTTTTATTCAGTAGCCCAACAAAGCCTGTACAGCCAGGCTAACAATTCCCCATAAAAGACCCCCCTTTCAGACGCCTGGACTGGTATGGGGCTTTGCAGGCTAACAAAAGAAGCCAGACGACCCCCATTCCAAAGGGGTGGACCCCTTCGTAAGATTCATTTGCATGTTTTCAAAACAAAAACAAGGCTTTGTTGGGCTACTGTATAAAACCTCGGACTCAACGCTATCCCTGACATTTTGAATTGAAAAAGCTTCTTGGATGGGAAGCAAAACGTCTTCAAACTTGGAAACAAATTCCAGTGGAATGTTTTTAATTTTCCTTTTTTGGAATTTGGACAAAGACATGGCTGCGCAAACATGGCTACCACAGTCTGTCAATTTTATATAAAGAACTCCATTTCACTCACATCTCGCCATGCTTCTGTGTTTTGGTCTGAGAGGAGGAAGAAGAATTATTGTTTGCGGATTGAGCGATTTGCCTACGACCCCCTAACGACGGCGAACTCAATCTCAAACATGTTTGATTTTCTCCCAACTTCACGATTCCTGATCGAGAGGTAGTTGTGAGAGGCTGATTGCTGATCGCTTACCCCCTGTACACTACAGGACGCACGATTATGCTACGTTCGGACCGCAAGAGCAGCAAAACGCGTGTGCTGCTTCATTTTTTATGCTTGTACAAGTTTAGTTCTGAAGCATCTTTCCTGCGCTAGCTGCACGGTGGGAAGTGGGTCTGATGCACGTTGGACAGAGCTAGCCTATCCTTTTTTCCCTGTAACAATTGCAGCTATATTTGCTGTGATCAGTGGGTAAAACGTAGTTTTAATACGCTTTTCAGTGAGAAAACTTCATCTGTGCTGTCAGTTCATCCAGATTAGCATCCTGCCTTCAAATATTATTTCGCTGTCGGAGCTGCTCAGACCCCAACATACCGGCGGTGCGCGTCTGGCCCGGTCGTCTCTTTGCGGTTAGCCGTGGCGGAGGAAGGAGTTTTTCATGTATGTAATCCAAACTGCAGGCACCAGGATAATGAAAGTGAACATGTTTTGCCAGCAGATTTCGGCCTTTTAAGTTAACTTTGGTGTTAATAAACAGTTTCAGAGGACTGATCATAGTGATCTGCATCATCAGCGATCTGTCTGTCTCCCTGCAGCTCCCAGATCAGCTTCTCTGATTGGTTGATGTGGCGCGTGGAAGCGCTGCTCCTGTTGCTCAAAACGTGCTGCGGGATGTTTTGCTGCGCCTTGATGCGCGTCAACCGTTGACTTTGCATGTGAAGTAGCTGCTCTTGCTGCCTTTGCTGCTTTAGGTGTGAATGTAGCACTAGACTGGAAGTCGGCCCGATTAATAAATTCTTGCATGACTGGAGAAATGCCCTGAAAAGTTTAAAAAATCATAGATTGTATGCCTGGCTTTAGGCAGACTAGGAGAGGGGCCTTTTACCAAACGTTTGTCTGAGGCCCCAAAATCCTTGAATCCGCCCCTGAGGTACAGCTGTAGAAAAAAAGGTTTTTTGGGCAGATTCTGTGAGAAAATAGCTGACAATTGAGTATTGAGTTAAACTAGAAACAAGTTGACCAATAGGATGTTTTATTTTGAAACGTGGTGTTTGTGTGGGCGGGGGAGCGTGTGCAGATGTTCAGAAACAGCTGGGAAGCCGCTGCCTCATCAGTTTGGATCTGCTGCTCCTGTTCCACCGTCAAAGAATCTGTCTGTTCGTGAAAATCGGTTTAAATCGGACCGAGCATTTCTGACAGCTGGCTGAGGTGAGGGGGAAACATCTGCAGCAGCTGGATGGCTGTGCGGCGCACGGCTGTCCTGCAGGGAATGAAGCGCTGCAGCCCGCAGAGCAACAACAGAACATGCTGAGAACATAACAGAAGGAGGAGGAAAGAACATTTATAATAATAATAAAATAAGAAGCTTCCAGGCGGGAATGAATGAGATGGGAAACTTTGAGGAGTTGCGCTCCCTCCCTCCACCACCGAGCTTCTCCAAAGCTTCTGCAAAGAGACGGTTTGTCAGGCTGGGAAGGAAGAGCAGTGATGTTTCTCAGTGAGTATGACCCACTTGGATTCATATGCAGCTGTTACACTGCAAAAGCAATCCAGAAATAAATACATATTGACTTAAATTAAGTGAATTTATCCTTAATTTGGGTTGGTAAATAAGATGATCTGCCAATGGATTAAGATTGTTTACCCTTAAAACAAGATAATTAGATAAAATGCTCTTGAAATAACACACAGCAATTATTGTTTTTACATTTTTTAAGTGTAAATTGTCTTGTTCCACTGGCAAAGTGCCTCATTTACCTCCTCAATTTAAGAAAAAATGCACTTTTTTAAAGAAAAAAATCACTTATTCAGATTTAGGTGTTTACAGTTTGCAGCTGGACAGAGTTAGGAAAGATAAAACATATTCTCTGGTTCCTGGGCGCTTTTTTAAGAGTTAACACTTATTTTACCGCCAGTTAAATCAAATCACAGTATGGAATAAAAATGCTTCTTTCTACATTTTATCTACTTTACTCTAACAATCAATGAAGACTATAAAAACAGCTGTATATACTAATCCCACGAAGAAACTCTTAGAAACATTAGATCAATTTCTGAAAACAAAAACAGCAGTCATACAAGTCATACAAGATAGGTATAGTGCACACATGCTTTTCTTTGTTCAAACACTTTTTAATTTAGTTTTATCTTTAAGCTTTTGATAGAAGTCTATTCCAATTTTTATCTTGATATTTTCTGTCCACTTTGCCCTCTTAAAGGTCTTCAGACCTTTCATCTTAGACTTCCGTCCGCGTCTTCGGCTTTATGCCAAACCACTGTGGGTTTTAGGGTAAAACCGCGCTGGGAACGGTTTCTAACCTCATCCTAAGCAGAAACCTCAAATCCATCTGAAAATAGTAACCCCACAGCATAATGCTGCCACCACTTCTTTACACTTTGGGCAATTAGTTTATTTCAGTGATATCTTGTGTTAGTGGAGTTTGTTTTGAGATTTAACACAAACAAACAGGAGTGTTTCCATCCATGTACGTCATAAAATAGTGTGCTGGAACATCCCCTTAGGACAAAATGTTTAGGTCTAAGGTAGGTAAACGTCAACAGTTTAAGGGAGAGGCAGATCAAAGCTGTGCTAAGAGGCTTACCTCAAACAACATGTGTGACATTCAAGGAATGAAGTCCAATAAAAATATTTAGTTATTATATTTATATAAACACCCTACAACACCCTTTTGTGCTCTCTTCATCCTCTGACATCTGCCTGGCTGTGTTTCCTGTATGGGGCCGCTTTTTACAGTTGCTTTTTGTATCTCTGCTTCTGTCTCCTAGAACCCCAGTCGGCCTCTGCAGATGGCCGCTCACACTGAGCCTGCTTCTGCTGGAGGTTTCTTCCTGTTAAAAGGGAGTTTTCCTCTCCACTGTCACTACAAGCATGCTTAGTGTGAGGGATTGCCTTCGAGTCAATGAGTCGATGCAATCAACTGGTTTTCCTTAGATAGAAAACTTTTATCAATTTGACTGGATGAGCTAGTGAACTGTAAAGTGCCTTGAGATGACATGTGTTGTGAATTGGCACTATAGAAATAAAACTGAACATGAACTTGAATAAATCCAGCAGTGGCAACCAAGAAGCTCATCTTCTTAGCTTTCTGTAGCAATATTTGGCATCTCATGGCCACCAAAGTCGTAGGAAAAGTAAATACCACTATGTTGTCTGACAGTTATTGCATGCGGAAAAGCAGTTTCTGTTCTAGCATCACACATATAAAAACATAAAAATGTTTAGTTTGCTGAACTCAACTGGGGCTTTCACATGAACCATGTAATTTGGTCTCTCTAGAGCGATATTATGAATTTTGGCATTTTTTAACTAAAAGCCATAGGTTTTAAAATATATGGGTCTAAACCTGTTGCTTTAAACCAGTTGATTAAATGATGATGTCTGGTGAAATTGTGAGGAACGCTGCACTACACCTTCAGCCCAGCAGGTGGCAGTAACAAGACCACACAGCTAGTTTTACATCTGTGCTCGTTTAAAAAAGCTATTTGTTTCACCCGATAAACAATTTTCAATAACTGCCTGTGTATTTAGCATAAAATAATGGATGAATAAGGGAAATTAGTTTGTTCCCTCTAAGCATCATTGTAGAGGAATGTTGATTGTCTTTTTATTTTCTTTTTTTTATACACACTGCAAATCTTGTTTTAGTAGGTGGCTTCTCCTGTCACATGAAAATAGGCGAAAAGATTTTCTACAATACCCTTAACACATACTGTAGGAAAATAAACAAAGAAATGGTTTACCAGACCATGTCTGCCATGGTCATCATCACAGTCCCCTGCAGGTCTAAAATCTGCAGGGTCTGTGGGCTTAGCTGAAGAGAAGAGAGGGCGACCGAAGAGGCAAGACACTGGATGATCTAGGCTCAATGTGCAGAGATCAGGGATTCTTTTGCAGGTTCTCCAACCTCCCAGTGGGATTATTGGATGGATAATAACAATTGTGACACGTTGTCTCTTTATAATGAATGTACCTAGGTTAAAGATTAAATTGCAAAGACATCAGAGCGAAATAATGCTCCTGCAATGATAGCAAAGTCTATGCTGTATTGTTTTTTTTTTCTTTACACATCTGCATTAGAGGTGCCAATAAATGTCACCCCACAGCATTTGTTTTGGGATCATTGCAGGCAGAGCGTGGTTGTTAAAATATTAAAGAAGTTTTGTTTCTGTTTATCAACTTAGATCAATAAAAAGTTTAACTATCTAGCTCCTCTTCTCCTCTTAATAAAGTTTTTTAAATATTAAAGCTCTGACTCACATGCCATCTCTCTTGAATGCCTCTAAGCAGAGGCTTTTACTGGCAGCACCAGTCAGAATAAGAAGCTGTGAAATCCCAGTCTGGGGACTGAGGTAGCTGCAGCGAACCTTTGAACTATAAGAAGATTAGAGTCTTGGTCAGCGTTGAACAACACTTCATTGTTTCAGTAGTGCCCAGGGGAAGCTGAGGACAGTCATGCTAAAGGAGACCAGAGTTATATAGAGAAACGTATGTCAACAAGATTTTTAGAAACTTTCCTTTAAAATCTTTAACTCATTGGCTTTGTTTTTTTTGTAATTGTCTTACTTCTGCTTGCCTCCTTATTCTTCCTCTAGATCAGGATTATTCTCTGGCAGTTCCTCCACCTGCAGACGGGCCGAGGGTTCGGCCATCAGGCAGTCAAGCAAGAGTCACATCCTCCGCCAAACCAGCCGCCTCTCCGGTGTCTTCCAACGCAGCCCTGTACCAAACTCTGGCTCCATGGCACTTACCGCGGGTCTCCGGCCATCACGGCCTGTCCAGCTCAGGAAGGGAAGCAGTAGGTCACATTGATTTTATTTTCCATCTGAATGTTTTGAGATTCTGATGCCATTTTTCTCAGAAAGAAACAGTGCCTTGCAAAGGTAGCCATGCAGTTGGTTTTAGGAGTCCCAATCTCTTACTCTACAGTAGCAGCAATTCAAAATTTCCCCACTTTCCTTGGCTGGCCCTTGGCTGGTCCTTAGCTGGCCCTTGGCTGGTCCTTAGCTGGCCCTTGGCTGGTCCTTAGCTGGCCCTTGGCTGGTCCTTGGCTGGCCCTTGGCTGGTCCTTGGCTGGTCCTTGGCTGGTCCTTGGCTGGCCCTTGGCTGGCCCTTGGCTGGTCCTTGGCTGGTCCTTGTTTAGTCCTTGGCTAGTCCCCTGAATTTCCTTTTGAATTTCTTTCTGTCATGATTTGTGGACATTAAGATCTAAAGAGAAGCCTTATTGTCTGGCCATACCCTGTAATTCAGAGATAGGATGGAGTCAGAGTAAAACAATATGCACGCCCATGTGAAGGACATCGGCCGGAAGATTGAGGGGATTTTGCTGCCATTCGGCTGGCTTTCGACTGGGAAGGGCCATTTTTAATGGTTGCTACTGTATATAGTCTCTAAAAGAGAAAACAAAGCAACCGTGACCAAAACTGATCCAAGCAGCGATATATGCTGGTGACACCATCATGGCTTTACCTAACAGGGGGCAGTGAAGGTGGTGATAGGTAGATGGATGGAAGTACTGTAAACATAAGCCAATCATCAAAGAAAGCTTAGGGAAGGGATGGCAAAATCCAGTTCTACATAGTTTAAGTCCTGTTCCATCAAAGTTGAGGTAATCGCTGAACTACCTCAGTAGTAGATCAGGACATTCTGAGGAGGCCACCAGATGAACCATTCTATGACTAAGGTGTGATGAAACAGGCAGACATCTAGGGTTATGTAGGACACAGCATTCATAGCATATTGGTGTGTTAGAAAACCTATGTCAATATATATGTTCAAGACATTCCTCAACCTAACTGACTAAGCTTGAGCAGCAGGCTTTTAGCTAGAAATATTTCATAGGGTGTTTACCTTGGTGTATAACTTTAGGCTTTGTGTGGCATTTTTGAAATTTAGACTCTCTGAAACTCTATGTTCTTTATTTTGAGGTGGAATGCAGCTAATGTTTTGTCTTTGTTACATCACTACTTTTGTCCTCATTGTGGGAAGTATGTTTGCTTGACTAGAGGTGGAAGCTTCATAAGGAAGACGTGAAATAATTCATAGGTTAATTCAAACAATTAGAAAGTTTAACTTCAACTTACTGCTAAAGGTGAAACTTGATTGCTTCATATATAGCAAGTTGAACCACAACAAACTGTCCACAAATACAACATTTTCTGCAAACCAACAGAGGAGAAAGTTTAGCCAGGGCTGCTTTTATTTCTGTGTATCTACTCCAGGGTTGGGCATACCCAGTTCCTCAGGGCCATTATCCTGCAACTTTTAATGTACCTTTGGTTCAACACACCAGAATCAAGTAATTAGATGATTGAGAGGACTCTGGAGGAACTGACTGCATACTGAGGAGGTAACTCAGCCATTTGGTTCATGTGTGTTGGACCAAGGGTGAATCTAAAAGTTGCAGGATAGCAACCCTCGGGAACTGGAATTGCTAACCCCTGATCTATTCTGTTAAGAATATAGCTGTCACTGAAACTAATTCTGAAACCTGATTGTCACATGTATCTTAATAATTCTTATGTATCTTAATACATTTAGTAAATTTAAACTGATGTGTTACACAAGCAGGTGTGTTGGGCCGAAGGGCAGTTATACCAGTTTTAAATGTACAAAAGGCTAAATAAGCGCACTGTTATCCACAAACATCCATGCATCTTCTACTGCTTAGTCCTTGTCAGGGTTGCAGTGTGGCGGATGCTTATCTCCTGGCAGTCTATGGGCGAGAGGCGGGGTACATCATGGACAGGTTGCCAGTCTGTCGCAGGACAACATCTACAAACATCCATTTATCAATGTTTTGGGGGAAAAAAGAGTCCAATTACCTCGAAGAACCATGAAAAGAACTGCAGCATCTGTTTGACATTTGCTATGGATGTAGTACTGATCTCTCCCTCCCCAGTTGCAATTTATGTTAGCTGTTGATTTCCCCCATCACTAACGGACAGTACTGTCCCAAATAAAAAAAACAATCCTGCAAAATAATGCTATAATCAGGCATTGGGTGGGGTTTTCTTAAGCTTTACAAAGATTCAAGCTTATCTGCTGGGAGAATTAGGGCGTACCGAAGCCGTACATCCCAAAAACAGGGTGTGCAATTTCTAATATTTTTAGTAAAGGGTGTACACATATACATATTGCTAGGTAAAAGTCTGTTGATCAATAAAAGCAAAGTTTAATACCGTAGTAGAAACTGATACAAAGGGATAAAATACAACTATTTTCTAATTAGAAACAGCCCGAGGGGTGTGAATATTTTAGGAAACCCTTAAAAAAACAACATCTCAGCTTCAGCTTTTTTCCCCTTTAAAAAAAAAACATCCATTTAAACTATGGCGATTTGACAGTCTACATCTGTCAGAGCACCTCTTACATCATCTGCTCTTTCAACACACTTGTTTTGTTGCATATCCAGGAACAAGCAAATGTGGCCTTAGCTCATGTAAACAGTGATCTTACATCAACCTAAACAGTCTTTCATCCATGCTTTTAACCACCTGTCAGACCCGCTGATAAATCTCCTTTCCACATGTGGTCACGTCCGCAGTGATCTGTGCAGAGGTTCTGCCAGAGGACGACCCGTCCGAGCTGTCCAATCAGATAACCGCCCCGGGAATCCTGAAGATCTTTGGAAATGAAATCTGTGAAGGGGCTCACTATAAGAGTGTGCTGGCCACCATGCACTCCAGCGCCAAGGAGCTCGTTAAGGAGGCCCTCGATCGGTGAGAACATGCGGGGTGAGCTGGGTGGGTGTGCCTGCCATGTGTGGGTGTGTGGTCTCTGCTCACGGTGAGTTAGGTTTCCTCACATGATCCTTCAGCTGAAGCACATCCACATTTAGAAAAATAAATCTGAATGAACATAAAAGCGAGAAAAACAGTACAGACAATCATGTGATCTCCTCTGTTCTGTTCTCAATATGGGTAAGCATTACTTACTGCCACTTAAAGCCACTTATCTTTAGCATAAAGATATTAATTTTGATTCTTCAAACACAGTCTATTAATTCTTCTTTTATAAAAGAGAGAAGTTTATTTATACATGATTTCCTTTTTGTTTACTTTTTATCTCTCATTTAGTGATAGCGAACAAATGATCAGTTAGGTTGAGGTGTTGAGTTAACTTCAGTCTGCTATCTATTCTGAATCAGGTTTTGATGTTTCGTGGATCCTTAGTGTGGAGGAGCGCTAAATAGGGTCCAAGTTTAAGCAATCTAGCTGTTCATTTAAGGGGAACTTTACCCAATTTCTGCAAAGTAGGGATACCACTTGCAGCAAATCAGACTCTAAACATTATGCTACTAAACCCCATGCTTGCCAGGTTTCAATCACCTGAAACACACTGTCAGCGATAAATGAGAGGGAATGTTTTTGCCATGTTAGAGCTCAAGAGTTAGCAAAGCCAAAGCTGGTTATAAAGCTTAAAGTGGTAGGGAAATCATATTTAAATGCCAAATCATTCTGACTTAAAAATGTATATAAAAATTAAAAAAAAAATTCTATTTAAAAAAAAAATCCTGTCTTAAAATCTGTGGGGTTTATTGTTATCTTATGCAGGCCAGTTAGTTATACGTCAGCCTGTACACCTAAATTCGGCCAATCATAAATCAAAGTTCATCTGTCAATAAAATGATTGATTCATATGTCGCAGCTAATTTATGCAACGGTTGAAATAAGAAATAAGAATAATTTCCTTTCCCATTGTGTTAGAAAATAGAAAATGTATGAAAGAAGAGACTCATCCACGACCTCCGACACAAAACTCTCCTCCTCTTGCATGTTTCCTCTGTCCATAGCGTTCCTTGATAGTGTCGTTTCTAAGTCAACAATTTAATGCTACTTGGTCCCAATGTAATTTCCCATTGGGAACCTACTAGCACTAAGTTGCTAACTGGTTAGCAAGATGGGAACCTTCCGCCACAACAATCCTGCCCTCTTGATAAACAACCAATCACATACAAACTACCTTTTAGAGTAAAACTTTTTTATAAGAGGAGATAAAGATTCAAATGATTGTCCAAAATGATAGGAAGTGTGTTGAGAGGCTTTTAAACCTAAGAAAACAAATACCAACTGTAAAGCATGGTGGTGGCAGCTCAATCATGCTCCCTCTCTTAATTCTTTAACTTCACTTCAAACAGTTTAGAGTTCTAAATGGACACAGTTTGGAGTTCCAACAAAACAAAGATCCCAACCAAAAATCCAAGCAGTTTTTTGAATGAACACATCAAGCTAAAGCTTCTGGGCTAGCTCAGGGGAAAACCATATTTATATGTATATATTGTATTAGAACATCTATTCCATTCTGCCTTATGCAGATTAGAGAAAAGTAAGAAATGATTTCAAACTTTTGCATCTAACTGTTGTTCTATTTTATATTTTAATTGAGGTCGTTCTACATGTAATTTCCTCCAATCTGGAAAAACAACATAATAAAGGCATTTTTAAAGGGCCAAAAATGAAATAACCTATTTCTGTGCAAAATGTATAAACATGACAAAATTCAAAAAGTTGTTTACATTTAAGAAAAGCAATCAAGTAAGAATGAAAAAGCAACGCATAGAACATTCCTGCATATTGTGTAGCTCTAATGTTGATGAAAATGTCATCAGGTTCAAATATATGTAAAAAAAAAAATCTCAGACCAAAGCAATTCTGCTGTTTAAAATAGTTAAAGAACAGTGTAGACACTGTGTGTGGAGTGGATTTGAGTCAGTAATTCTGTAAGGTTTACTCCAAACCACAGACTTGTGTGAAACACAGTCAGTGATGTTCCAAACTCTGAGGCAGCCTCTGTCTGTCAGTCTTAGGTTTCATTCAGAACCAGAACAGGATGATTAATGGCAGCAGGATTAAAGCTTTTAAAGGGTAATAAATGAACAATCCTTTTGCAAAGTCAAAGGTTGAAGCAGCTACATCATTTCAAGCTGGCAAGTTAGAACATTTTCAAATGAAATAAAATGATTTACAAATTTTAGGCTCTGGCCTTTATTTTGAAAATATGCAGACAGAAAAGTGGTGAGAGGAGATACATGGAGCCAGGAGATGGGTCATGCTTTCTATCATCACAACACAGCAGCACCTCATACATTTAAAACTAGAAGAAAATTATTCAGTTTTTTTAATGTAAATTGCATATTTGTAATAGTCTTATTTTGATAGTAAATACTCACTCTATTGGTAGGTCATCTTATTTACTTGCTCCAATTAGGGGCAAGTTTTCGCCTATTCTTAGAACAGATTTTGCAGTGTGAGGTCTGTAAATCATTGCACAGAGAAGTAGACAGTGATGCTGCTGATGATGACACAGCTTTCTGATGTGCCATCATTATGGATTTTAACTCTCTATGCCACCCATGTAAGGTCCAGTTATTGTGTTGTACCAGTAGGAGCATGATATTCTAATTATCTATCTGTGCTTGTAAAAGGCTGTGAAACACAACATTATTTTTCTTAATAAATAAAAAGTCTAGAAACTGCCTTTTTTATTTATTAGAGGGTTCTCCCAGGTCTGACCATAGAAATTGGTTTTATGATCTAAAACGGAGGTCTTCAAAAAGGGGTCCGCAACCCCTAGGGGTCCACGGAGGTCCTGCATGGGGGTCGCAAAAGTTTTGGTTGATTAGACTTTATTTTTATATTTCCCCCTGCAGTTTTTTCCACTAATTAAAGTGTCTTTAAATCCACATTAACATGAATTCAACTCACTGTAGTAAACAGATAAATGGAGGCAGAAGATGTCTTTCAGTTATCAATGCATAATTAGGGGGTGCCCACTCCATTTTGCCATCAATTTGGGGGTCCTTGGCCTGGAAAACATTGATGACCCCTGATCAAAAATATGGTGACAATGAAGCAGAAACAGCTCAAAATTGCTTTTGCATGTGTTTTTGTTATTTCTCATTACCTCTTCTATCTCCAAGCTCTTTGAGGAGTGTGATGATTTTACAAACTTTTGTACTTCTTTAACTCAGGTATGGTCTGAAGAAAGAGGAGTCTGAGTCCTTTGTGCTCTGTGACACCATCGGCTCCATTGACAACCATCAGTGGAGGACAGAAGGGTTCAGAGTGGTGGGCGACCACGAGAAACCTCTTCTCCTGCAGTCACTATGGAAACCCAGAGAGGGTTTGGCGCGACGTTTCGAAATTCAGAAGAAGAGCTTGATAGAAAAGAAGACGTCCCAAGAGAAGGACACAATCACTGCTGGTAATTATAGCTTTAAGGGTTATTACTTCATTATTTCACTGCATCTTAATTCAGTGTTTCTACCAGTCAAGTTGGCTCTGAATACACGTTTTTATAAATAAAGCTAAAGTCAGTTCTCACAGTAAAATATGTGGCTTCTCCTGAGAAAATCAGCCAAACCTCAGACTATTTTTCTTTCTTTTCAATTTCTGTGACATGACAGGATTTTATTCTTTCTGACAGTAAATCTTTAAATGTTACAGCCTAATGCATTTTCCAGACAGACAGCTTTTTAACTGCCCCTTTTTCGGTGACACACCCTCTCTATAATTCTTTATTGTTAGTGTAAAACACTAATAAAACCTTTATGTTGCAAAACACTGAATCCACAGATAAGCATGAAGCATGATAAGAACTTTCCACAGATGGCACCGTAAAGGTGCTGGGTGGGTTCTTTTTTATTTTTTGGTAATATTTAACTAAGATCTTTACTAATGCAGCTGTGGTTTACACAGCCGTGGTCACGTTAAAGTGTGCGTCCTGTTATGTGTTTTGCTTTTATGAATGGCGTAGCATTTGATAACGTTCCATCAGTGTCAGCCTGTGGCTCCCTGCTGCAGAGTTGAATGTTTTTTGTCTGTTTTTTTTTGTTTGTTTTTTTTCCATTAGCGCTGTCTCTGTTTCCACTGAGGTCTGCTTCCTGAGTGGGGCTTCTTCTTGTTGACTCTGGCAGGAAAAGCCCTCGTGTGGCGCGCTCACACGCCGCACCTTGCTTCAGGAAAACACAGGCGTTGCTCTGTCATCACATTCCTTCACCTCTTTGCCTGATGGGTTTTTAATGCAACTCATTTTGCTCATTGTTTTAACACTTTTGCCGGCAGTCTAATCTGTCTACTTATGCCCCCGTTTAGGTATCAATGCCCAGGCCCGAAAGCTGCAGAAGAGCAGATCCAGAGTGACCTCCACCCTTTTAAAGAGGACTATGGGTCAGAGTCAGAAGCTCTGGAGGAGCAAAAGTGAGATGGATCTGCTGGATGGTGAGGCTGAAGGTGATGCACGTAGCAAGGAACTTTGCGAGAGTTACTCTTCAGCTCAAAGCCACGAGTCTCTCAAAACAAGCCCCCAACAGATCAGCATTCACAGTGTGGCGGCTCCCTCCGAGGGGGGCGGTGGGTCGGGGTCCAACACAGAGACCCTCTGTCTGTCCAGGCCGAAGGGCGAGCGGGAAGGAGAAGAGTCGGAGAGGGAGGAGACGGAGAGCAGCGACGATAACACCACACAGTACTCCATTCACCCTCCTCATGACTGCCCATACCTGCTGCTGCTGCGGGGCTGCAGCCTCACACAGGTACGAGTCCAATCCTAGCTCAGCGATGAAGGAGGGGAAAGGTTAGCCTGACTGGTACTGATAAGTCCAGCAGCGGGTGGTTTGTCTGGTAAGAAGCGAGGGAATAAAAACACCAGAAATTAAAAGTAAATTCTAGAGCATGTAAAAAAATAGCAAAAGAAAAAAAAGGCCAAGCAGGTCGTTCTATGCCTAAGGTTAATGGTAAAATCAGATGGACTGACACTCACTCTGGTTCAGTCTGTATTGGTTAGTACCCAGATCACTGAAAGGGTAAACATCATGCCAAATGGCGGCATTGCTGCACCAGTTTGTTGTTTTCTAGAATATTCTCCTTTTGAAGTCATTTCCTGATCTGCCCTCTCTTCCTCATTGCATAACTCGTTGTACGTCTACATTTGGAACAGTGGTCAGTTCACACAACTATTCACATTTAGATTTGGTTTCAGAAAATGTCACCTAGTTTGGTTCAATAGAGTTTTTTTTTTTTTTCAAAAACATTTTTTTTCACCCTCATCCACCTGGTATTTGCTCCAAGCCAGCGTAGTAAATCAATTTTCCCCAGGTGGATAAAACATATAAACCTTAACTCCAGTTTTATTCTTACCTTTAGCTGTTGTAATTCAGTGCAATTCCACATCTGTAAAGGAACCAGGAGCATGGGTGGTTCTAGACAGGGGCCAACAGGGGCCTGTGCCCCTGTAGAAATGACCCTGATCCTTATTATGGCCCCTGTGCCAAAGACAAAATATAGAATTCATTTACGATAAATAAATGATCGCATTCACTGGAACAGAAACCGTAGTTGATAGGTCCATTGGTCTAATATTTTTTAATCTTTACAGTTATAATTTATTGATGATTTAACAGTTACGTTGTTGCACTTTTAGCTTCAGTCATATTTAGATAACATCACTGTGTTTTTTTTTTTTTCCCTATGTGAGTCTGAGGATTCCAGAGCTGCAAACTGCTCTTTGGTTTTCTCAAAATATCAAACAATTAAAAATGTTTTGTTTTATTCTTCTGTACAGTGCCCTCATGAATATACTCTTAAGACAATTTCAGTTTCAAAAAACTTGTCGACCATCACTTTGTCTGTAAGCCTTATCATTTAAACAGGACATGGAGGTGGGAGATGGTGCCATACCAGGGATCTTCCTGTGTGATATCAATACAACATAACATTAAAAAGTTATTTTCCAAAGTACTTAGTAATTAGATATAACTTCCACTTAAATGTCTTTTATATTTTTATTTCATAAATTATTCTACATAAATGTCAAGTAGTTACTCGGACTGAAAACCCTTTAGATGTTTGGTTTTAGGCAAATTTCCAGCAGGAAGAGCCCTACTGGTGCAACTCCTCCAGATTTTATTTTTCGGATATAACTTTCTGTGCAAAGATGGGTTTGGTTTAAAGTTAATAAGCTGCATTAACCATTGAGCACATTTCCTTTTAAGAATGGATCGGTTATAAGGGCTGCTCAGTGGAGCAGTGGGTAGCACTGCTACCTTGCAGCAAGAAGGTTCCAGGTTCCCAGCCTGGGGTCTTTCTGCATGGAGTTCGCATATTCTCCCTGAGCATGCTTGGGTTCTCTCTGGGTACTCTGGCTTCCTCTCCAAAAACATAACTGTTAGGTTAATAGGCTTCTCTAAAATTGTCCTTAGGTATGGTCCCTTTCAGACTGGCTGCAGTCTTTAGTGTTCAGGACCAACATGTCCAGATGTCTATGAGATGGAGACACCATAGCAGATATTATTAGGGTCATAACACTTTAATAGAAACTAACTTTTTTTCATGTAAGCTTTGTTAAGTTGTAGAGAGAGGAAGAACCAATGTTTAGAAACTCAGTAGTTCAAAATAATAAAGCCACTGGCAGTGGACTGTGGGGGCACAGGGGGCCATTAGCCCCCTACTTTACGGCCGTGTCCAGGCCAACATTAAGTCTCACCAAACATTCAGTTGGGACCCCCCTCCCTTCCTTTCTCTGCTGTAAGACCAGAAGCAAAGATTAATTTCACACCCCCTGCCAATTGACGTTTCCCTAATTTTCTACATTTATCTCAAGGTCAAAGCTGGGAGAAGAGGAGGCGAATATGTTTCTCTGATATGTGCTGTGAGAACTACTAAGGTGTTTGATGAATACGTTTTTTCTCCTTGCTTTGTAATAGGGATGGATGTAGTGGAAAAATGCATTAATACAGACTCTGACAGGCACTTTTCCATGAAGGAACAAGAGAAAGAAGGTTTCTAGGCCAAACCTCTAAAAGTGCTCCTTTTTCTGATTAAAAGTGCACACCTACTTTACTGTGTGACTAAATTTAGTATTTGCAAAGCCCTGCCAATTATTAAATGGCAAGGGACATAAGAGCTTTTTCAGCTGTGTGTTTCATTTTTCACTCACTTTCAGTGTTGTTCTACATCGCGCTCCCCTTATATATTGAAAAGAATCTTTGGCAAATTCACAAAAAATCTTTGTCCCCTTTTTCTGCCTTACAGAGCTATAAAATGCTCTGCCACCTTTGGTGTGCCTGTATCTTCTTTTCTGTACCACAGTTTCCACCACCTGTTCTGCTTTCTTTTCATTCAGGAAAAAGCGCCTGTTCATTTGACTTTAACTCCAGTTTTAATTTACAAATCCGGACATCTGGTCACCCTAGGTGACGTCACAAAGGTAGTGGAGGATATTACAACTTTGTTAATTAATTAAACCATATCACTGAAAGATTAACATTTGTGGCAAGAAGACATGGAAAGTCTGTTTACCATATACTCTCATGCAAGTTGAGTTTAATATTTCTCAGTATTTCATAGCAGAAATGCATATAATATGATTTCAACTGTATTTTTTCTCCAGTATAAAAGATTTTGGGGACTGTTAATTTGCTCTCAAGTCATTTAACACAATTTGACATCTGGATATTAGACTGAGGCTGCAACTGAAACTCACAATTATGAGCCAATAGACCACAGTCCAGTCCCCAGCTTACAGGGCAAATAATCCCTTTTCATCAGAATAATTTGTTCACAAAATGATCAGAACTGAGGGCAAGTCGGGTTTCCACTTCTGGTAACATGATAGAGATTAGGCTCGTCTCAAATATCGGCAGAGATGGCAAAAGTACTCACTTTCCGTACTTGAGTAAAAGTACAGATACTTGTGTTAAAAAATACTCTGGTAAAAGTGGAAGTACTGATTAAACTNAAAGTAGAAACCACTTTTTTCATGCCGTTGCCTACATTTTAAATGGATGTCTGCCAATAGGACTAGATCTCCGTTGTGTTCATTTTCAATCATCTTCAAAATCTTTAGCCTCTGTTTGTGTCGCTTCACTTGGAGCCTAAATGTATATACGAACCTGGGAAATAGCAACTTAAAACAATTAGTGACATGGTATGATTGTACTTGATAACATTTAAATAGCTTGTCTTAGCTGTGTAGATTATGTTATTGATGCTATGGAACAAAAACGGACTTATTGGAATCTGCCTTTTTTGTACACTTTATTTTAAACGCTGTATCTTTTTAGTACCGAATTTTAAACACCTAATTTTCTTAAACATTGAATTCTTTACAAATAATTATTATCTGGTGAAGATTTCCCTGCAAAAAAATTGACTGCAAATGTGTTGGCCTTCTGATGAACTCAAGCCTAAGCAATCCATACTTATAGCCAATTAAATTAGCTCATTTCATCACATGACACAGCAGTTGGGCTGAATGAAGCTGAATGAGGAGTTTTTCTTGTTAAAAAGATATGATTACAAAACGTCAGGTAGCTACTAATAACTGGGTGAAATAACTGAGCCGATCACAGCTAGTGTGGCACCCCTATCTGCCAAGGCTCTTGGTTTAATCCGGAAGAAGCAGCAGGCGTCAAACTATATTTTTCTGACCAAATGAGTTAATTTCATTGGCCAGAAGCTGCTTGACTTTATCTAATGTAGATTGCTTTGGCTTCAGTTCACCAAAAGGTCAACACATTTGCAGTCCAATTTGTTACAGTCCAATTCTTTTGCAGGGGAATTTTCACCAGATCAAAATTCAGGGTTTAAAATTTAGTCCTAAAAAAGTCTGTGTTTAAAATTCGGTGAACAAAACAAGGCAGATTCCAATGTTTTTCTTCCATATTGATACTGCCACTGCGGAAAAAATGACTCACAAACAGAACAGTTAAAGTTTCTTATAATAACCCATTTATCAAAGTCATTTGAAAACAGAAATTAAGACAAGACAACTTGTTGGCAGCAGCAAAGTCATTTTAATCTGATCTATTATACAAATGTTGATTACAGAAAAAACAGCTGTTTAGCTGCATTAACTGTAGCGGTTTCTGATGATTTTTTACCAAATATACGGTTAATGGCATACTGTTGATGTGGCAGCATAGTGGTTAGGGCATTGCACACTCCTATAGACTTCCACCCTAGGTCCCTGAGCAAAAACCATTAGCCCCACACTGCTGCGCACAATGGCAGCCCACTGCTCACCAAAAAGATGGGTGGAATGCAGAGATTTAATTTCGTTGCTAAAAAAGCTTAAAGTTAAGCAAATGACATAAGACTTTGTCGTGGTTTTATGTAGTTGTCGGACCCACATTCAGAACGATCTCAGGAAGCAGAGTAATTTTAAGAGATTTAATTACAAATAAGAATGAAGTGACAGTTGTCAGGAAACAGGAGCGGCAGAAACTCTGGAAAGATAATATGGTGGAGACAGGATCATGTTCATACAGAGATGCCAGTGAAGGAGTCATCAGCAGCCAGCCAGTTAAATCACCATATTTAGGCCAAGCATTGGTAGATTGTTGCAGTTGGAGGAAGGCCTGTTCTGGAGTGGGAGAAATAACCAAAAAAAAATCCTAAAAGGAACAAGGGGAGAAAATGAATAAAGAATAGGATCTCTGGAAACACAGATGCAAGCAAGGAGTCTGGTGGGCTTGATGTCACCATTTGGGTTAACACTGCAGAGGCTTAATGAAGAACAGGTGTATGTAATCAACAGGCGACCCCTGCAGGATGGTACTTAGAACTATAAAATACATAGGAAAGTTTCCCAGTATTGACTCCAACATTATTATCGTCTTGTATCTTCATGTATATTGATCTGTCAGCGTTTTTGCTTGTTTTTTTTTTTCAGAATTTTTTTGTTCGATTACAAGGCTGACCGAGCAAACTGGAGATCAAACTCAGGCAATCCTTGTCAGTGCTTTCAATTTGAATCTGCCACAACAACAGAATATTTTCGGAGTAAGATTTACATCCATTTATAACTCAAAAAACACAAAAAACGGATCCTTGTTGAGAAAAATGGGGAAGAGTTCAGCTAAAGTCAGCAAAAAAAATGAGTCAGAACATAAATCAGGAAACAGAAAGAGACATTTTGACACTGCTTCCTACCATGTTACCAGTGCTCTCTTCTAATACTGGGTAAGTACAACAAAACAACATGATAAAACAGAGGTAACCAATATGTGACAAACAGCATCTAAAAACCCTCTCTCTTTACTGTTCGCAGTTTTAAGTTAGCAAATATAACCTCAAAGGACAGGTTTTGCAAGTGGTAAACAATAATCTGTAATTATTATCCATGATGCTGACTTTGTTTAGTTAAGGAGATATTCTACTTTAAGAGCAGAAGTTCTGAATTCATAAGGTTAAAGTTTGCAGCTTTCCAACTCTTATAAAACAAACATCTTTATTGCCTGGATTTGGTTTATGGCTATTAAATACATGTGGATAAATAAGATTTAAATTTTTTTTTTTTTTTAGACAAAGTACTTCACAATCCAAAAAGAGTGTTTTATTTTTCTATCAGTAATATTGACATTTCAACCTTAAAATATTAACACTAATATCGTTATTAACAATATTTATAAAGTTTTGGGGCCAGATGCAAACGTCTTCATATCTGCAAGCAGATCTTAAGAGAAGGGGCAAACTGATTTGTGTTTGCACTTCAGCAATCAGCATGTGAAAAACCTTTTTTATTCCACATGCCTTTATGAAGATGCAGATCATTTTCTAATGAACAAACTTTTCATCATCTGTGTGTCTGTGAATAGGTGACTGAATTTAATACAAAGAGCTTTGGTCAAGTCCCTTAACTAAAAAACAAACGCTATATAAGTGCAGGCCATTTACCATTTATAGGTATGTATGTATGTATGTGCCCGGATGGGCCCACCAGTTAAACTAGTTGCAGTTGCCATTTGTATCTCTGCTTCTGTCTCCTTGAATCGCGGTCAGCGTCGGCAGATGGCTGCTCAAACTGAGCCTGGTGATGCTGGAGGTTTCTTCCTGTTAAAAGGGAGTTTTCCTCTCCACTGTTGCTGCATGCATGCTCAGTGTGAGGGATTGCTTAAGAGCAATTAAAAATCAGCGCCACTAGTTCATCCAGGAGGGGCATTTCTTGCAAGTCATTGACTGGATGCAATCAACTGGTTTTCCTAATTAATCTGAGTGTCTTGTCTCTGCGAAGTGCGTAGAGATGACATGTGTTGTGAATTGGTGCTATATATGTATGTATTAACGTATGTATGTATTTAAAGTGGACTTTAGTAGTGAATCTACATTATGTATCGCTTGTGTCAACAGTAATGTAGTGGTTTTCCTAAGTTAAAATACAAATGCTGAGGATGTTTTATGAATAATTACAGCCTTAAACACACGTAGAAAACTCCCCATTCCAATACAATCCCTTAATTTAAAGCATGCACATGTCTAAATGGCCAACCACGCTGTGGCCATTTATGTTCCAGTGTTAATAGAGAGTTATAACTTTAGGCACAAAAACAAGGACATTTAAAAACTTTAAGCCAAGCTGTGGCAGCCTGACATTTAACACGAATGTTCCACTTTCTAAAGAAGAAACTGGAACATTTTCATGTTTTGATAGCAGAAATTAAAATTAATTAGACACGTTTTATGGTAAAGGGGTATTTGTTGAGTTAAAAAGCAATTGCAGGACAGCACTGAACTTCTCACTTATTCCCATTCCCAAAACCTTTAATATCAAATAACACAAGGGAAACGAAAGGAGTTTTAAAAATAATGATTTTATTCTGGGGCTGCTCAGCACTGCTGCCTTGCAGCAAGAAGGTTCTGGGACGATTCCCGGCCGGGGGTCTTTCTGCATGGAGTTTGCATGTTCTTCCTGAGCATGCGTGGGTTCTCTCTAGGTACTCCACAGTCCAAACACATGACTGTTAGGTTAACTGGCTTCTTTAAATTCTCCTTAGGTGTGAGTGTGAATGGTTGTTTGTCCTGTTTGTCTCTGTGTTGCCCTGCGATGGACTGAGACCTGTCCAGGGTGTACCCTGCCTCTCGCCTGTAGACAGTTGGAGATAGGAACCAGCACCCCTCGCAACCCAACTTGGGATAAGGATGACCAAAAATGGAGTGATGAATTTTATTCTGCATATTGGTCAAGGTCATGGTCAAGCTTGGAAAGTTCAGTTTAGGCAGACTTAGACAAACTTCACCTCCAGTTGCCTAAAATGAACTTTTCAAGCTTAGCTATGCAGATCAATCTGTCCCACTGTAAAAAAAAAAAAAAAAGAAAAAAAAAGTGCTTGTGATTATGAAAAAGGTTTTGATAAATGGCATAGAGTCTTTTACATTTCTGATTTTAAAAAAACGTGGCTCCTCTTTTTGGCAGAATTGTTTTAGTTTGTTTGCATCAAAGATTTTAAGCTTTGATTAGGTTACCTTAAAATCTACTTTTTGGGAGATTTATGAAATAACTTACAGGTGTGCTTTGGACCATTGTCAGCTACATAATCCAATCAAAGTCACAAATGATGGAATTTCATCATTAATACAAGCCTGGAAACAGTGAAGCAGCCCAAGAAAATAGCATATAGTTCAGTGCTGAGATGAGGCCTGCAGAGTTTAAGTTATTCCATGGTTTTTCTGAGACCTCCTGATTGAGTCGGTGATGTGCTTTTGGAGTAAACTTGGAAGGCCTTTCACTCCACTTTATAGGATTCTCGCTGCAGTTCACTGGAACTGCAGAGAGACATTATCTCTGCACCAGAGAAGGGCTTTTTTAAATTGTTCTAAAATGATAGATGTCATGGACTTGATTTATTTTCTAATTTGGGATACATGATAGGATAATGTTTAACATTTCTCAAAAGGGCTTTTCTTTTTACCTACAGACAAATATTCTTTTAATACTTTCACAAACAAACATGCATCAATTACATATGTTCGGGAATTTTATTCTGTTCAGTTGACACAAACCTGCTTTTAGTTTGTTTTATTGTCCCCAGCTGGCCAAATATGTCTGGTTTAAGTCCAAGTGGTTACCAGTGTATGATTCACTTATCAAGCAAAACAAGAACACCACATACAAAAGTTGTTCTTGATGTTATGTGAAAATATTCAGACTCCAGGTGTATTTTTTTTGTTGTTTGGTTACTAAAAAATACTCTCTCCCTTTAGGACTTTGTCGTCTACCTCCTAGCGACCCCACACATTGTTATTGGCCAGCAGAGGGATTGTGAAGCTAACTCAGATGTTGACATCCTCCTCTTTGCTGATGACATTCTTCCAAACCACTGCCTCCTCCACCGCCACAGCATTGGCAGCCCCATCACACTCTCTGCTTGCAGAGACGCTGTTGTCACGAGGAACGGCGAAGCTGTGGATGATAAAGTGCAGCTGAGCAACGGTGATGTTATTGGGCTGGGAAAGCATTATCTTTTCCTCTTCAGGGATCCCGTAGCTTTAATGCACAAGGTAAGACAATCTTTGATAATGCATACAGGCAGTATTCTGAATTTTACTGCAGAAGTAAAATTGACACAAGTTATCTCATATGATGTTTGTTTTTTGGTCCCAGCAGGAAGGAAGCAGTAATTCTCCTGAACCCACCTTCTCTCCCTCCCCATTGATACTCTGTCTCAGTCCTCCTACATCATTGTCCAACCACAGCGCAGCAACAACCCATTGCATCAACTGCACCCCAAACTTTATGGACGTCCATGGCTGGTCCTGCAAGCCGCCTCCAAGGAAAGGCCCTCCATTTCTAACATCCCCCAGAGGCCACATCCTGACTTTGAGCTATAAGGTTGAGGATGAAGATCACATCGTCAGGCAGATCTTTGCTATGGAAGTCAGCGCCAATGACACTGAAGGACCCCCTCTAACTGTCTCCTTTCTGCTGAGCCTGTGTCTTCAGTATGCATCAGCATATCTTCACACTTCAGATCTCCGCAGGCTGCTGCTGCTCAGTGCGAGTGAAGTCCAGAGTGCAATGTGGGTGAGTTGGGGTAAAAAACGCTAAACCAGTTCAAGCTCTAACCTTTAGAAAACAGCAATTGTAGCTTGTTCTTCAGTCTTATCCTGTCACAGTAAAATCTTTGGCTGACTCGGGAGTCCCTATGTGCAGGGAATTTTACACATTGTTGATATGATGCATCTCAAGATGAACCTCCTGAAGCAGTCACTGCTGATTTATAGCATTAAGATGAGTAAATGTTACCCTGATCCTGGTTCTACAGTCATTTTATGAAAGTTTCCAGTTAGGGGTGCAAGTCATAAAATAATGAATTCATTTAAAGTTGATTGATTTTATCGATTGTCTGGAGATTAGAAAAAAAACGTGTTTTTCTCTTGTATCGAGGATCTTTAAGTAACATGAGAGGCAACATATTTTTTTGACAGTATGCTAAATTTCAACAAAATTAATAAATCATTATATTATAACAATTTATAGTGCAAAACGGACATCTAGGTTACTGAATTAAAAAAAAGATGAATCGAATATGTTAAAAAAATCTTGATTTCCAATTTTCCGAGATAAAACTATCATTAAAGGACAGGATATGTCGCTCCGATATGCTGTCAGACTATATACCAGTCTTTTTTCAATAAAGTGGAGGTGTCATGAAATGGGACAGATGGACTCAGTATTCAAGGTGAGACAGTTAATAAAAATATTCAAAACATTTATTAAAATAAACATGAACAGCAGTGCGGAGCTGTTGATCTGCAGACCATAGTGACTGCAGGAGGGGGGGTGAAACACAGGCTGGAGGGAGAAACACAGGTAAACTGATCACAATCATCTAACGGAAGATGATTATCCATGAGTCACTTACCTGGACCTGGACTGTTAATTCCATCCTCTCCGAGGAAGGCAGGATCCAGCCGGTGGACTGCCCAACAAGCTGCGGCGCAAAGCCGCCCATCTGTGCCCCGGCGCAGCAACCCTAGTGAGCAGGCAGGCTAGTGAGCAGACAGATCCAGGGTTCCAGGAATCTCAGACAGAAATGCACCGATGCAGACTGACAGAATCCAGCAGGAGCCCAAAGACAGTTCAGGAAAACCGATCAGACGGGAACAGACAGACCCAGTGGTAAAGAGGGAACTCACGAAATCAGAATCACTAGGAACTGAAATACTCTCACCACTGGCTGAAGGCACTGGCTTGTGAATAATCTCCTCGCTGGAACGGGGAAATGAACCTTTAACTAAACTGAACAAATAGGAAACAAACATGAAACAAAACAATGATCTGGCCCAGATAGCTGGGCTGAGCTGAATATATAGCAGATGGATGAGGTGAATAAGATGAATGATAATTAGAGAGTGAAGCGGGATCGGCAGGTGAATGAAGTGAGTAATTAAGGTCAGCTACCAGGGCAGATCATGACAGGAGGTTAATCATGATATAACTCTTTTTAGCGTAATCCAGCATTGAGTGTTGGAGGAGACTTTGCTAGCAGTGCCTTTGAACAGGTTGTTACCATGGCGCTATTTAGGTGATAACTTAAAAAGTTGATCAATTGTTTATATTTACAAACAGAACCACATAAAGTGAATGTTGTATCCTTGATACCATTAAAGAATGTAAATAATCCCAGACTGGATTAATTATCCTTTCTGCTTTGCAAAAAAAAAATCAGCTGCAAAAAAATTTGTCTGCGAAGAATTAAACTGCACATGTGTTGACCTGATTGCATCGACTCATTGACATGAGGGCAATCCATCACTCTAAGGATGCTCGTTGCGACAGTGGAGAGGAAAAACTCCCTTTTAACCCCTTGAAGGCTGAAGTGATATACATGTACATAAAAAAGACATTTTGTGCATGTTTTTCCCCTTCAATGAGATGCCAAATTAAAATGGTTAATATTACTAAATAAATACAAATGAAGGTAAAGTGTATTTTGTAACAGTAGTTATAACTACTGTACATAATAACATACATTGTGACTATTAGTAACAACAGGTGTCAAAGGGTTAACAGGAAGAAACCTCCAGCAGAACCAGGCTCAGTGTGAGCGACTATCTGCAGAGGCCATCTGGGGTTCCAGGAGACAGAAGCAGAGAGGTGATGCAGGGATGAATACCATAGGTTTCTCCTACCTGAGTTGTAAATCTCTGCAGCTCTTCTCATTAATGCTATTCTTGTTCAGCCTCTCAGTTTTTGAGACAGATGTGACAGTTTTCCATTTTGAGACCCAATAACTTTGGAAAACACTGTTTTCAGATTAGTTTTATCGGTTATCAGTTCCTTTTTTCCTTTGGGCAAAAAATCTGTGTTCAAACCTGCCTTGATTTGAAAACACTTTCTTCCTTTTCTGCAGGAGTGCACAACAAAGCTAGCTGCTGTTTATCCAGAAGTGTGAGTTTCATTTTTCACCTTCAGTACCTCTTTTTTTTATTATTTAAAAATCGGACTTGAGTTGTTTTTTTTCTCTCTAACAGTAAAGATTCAGGTCCCAAGGACGAAGAATGCAGCCCCCATGAGGTTATTTCAGGGTTACGCCCCCTTGTTGTGTGGATGGCCAACAGTCTTGAGCTGCTGCAGTTTATTCAGCATGAACTGCCTCTTATTCTGGAGTGGAGGATGCGTAAAGAGAAGACACAAAAGGTGGAAGATGGCTGTGAAGATGCTGAAACCAAGGAAGCTGAGAACTTATGTTGGTTTTGCTGAAAATTCAGTGATAATGGAACGACCATTTTGAAATTTACCTATGTGTTAATTTGTTGAACACATAGGTAAACCATGAACACATAGGTAAAACTTTGCTTTTGCTTTTACAGCCATGCTGGAGCTTCGCCTGTCCTGCGTTCATTCAGCCAGCGAGGAGACGACGGCTGTCCTGGAGGAAGTCATCCTGCTGGCCTTCCAGCAGTGCGTCTACTACATCACTAAGGCAAGAGCTGGTAGCACAATCGTTTGTTAAGACAACAAGCCTGTAAAATTTGCTTTTTGTATCGAAGAGTGAGGCATATTTTGGGGACTTTTATTGTCAAAGAAGTTGACTGAAAGCTCCATCCTGTCTTATCACTCATAATCAAAATGTGTCTCAAGACATTAGTTTCATCAGACATGGGTAGAGAATAAAGTGCTTGATTTGTCCCTTTTACAACTTTATTGCAGACTGAGTGACTACACTGGGAGCATTGTGAAGTATTAGAGGGAAAGCGTACCAAAGGGCTTTGTCACTGTTTGTGCTGGTTTATAAAGTGCTGGATGACAATTTATGCCATTCATACTGTAAGCATGCTCTATAACAGAAATCTTCCTCAGTGCAAAGAAATTCAGTACTAAAATAAACAGTACTGACGGAAATATTTTTGGTGTTATTGTACAGGAAAAACATGAAAACTCAAATTGATTGATACCCAGTAGGAGACCTTTGAGCTTGAAATGATGATGTAACAACCTCACTGTATTACAGGATTCTCAGACATGTAGAAACAATTTTTTTTAAATTGACACTTTGGAACAGGGTCTTAATAACTTTGGCTGAAAATTATAAAGAAACCATTAGTTGTTGTTGTTT